GGCTGTGGCCGACTTCCTCTCCAGGAATGGGGGGGGGCTGCAGGCCGGATGGCTCCCCGGCCTGAGTCGGGCGGTGGGGGTATGTGGTGAGGGGGGCGTGGTTTAGCGGAGTCTGCAGCGGGAGAGAACGGTCGGAGACGAGCGGTGAGTAAGTAGGTCAAGTGCAAAATGACATTCACCTGCTTCTCGTTTCAGTGATTGGCCTGGAGAGACTGTAAAAAGCCTCAGGGGAAGCAGAGAGAGAGAGACGAGACAGACTGAGGACTCGTGGGGAAAGACTGGGGCCTGTGGCTAGAGAACTGAAGAAGTGCGATATAAGTTTTGTTTATTTTGATGCGCCTGAGCGCCTGCCTGTTTTTGCTGTTCCCAAGGGGAACCATAATAAATTGCCACGAGCCTCAGTCACGCTGACTCCGACTTCTTCCTTCCTTACTAAGAACCTTGTTACAGCCACCCATGTGAAGTGCCTTCATTGGATGAAAACTAATGTGTTTTCATGTTTGTACCTACAGCATTTGAGATGTCTGTCTTTCCTGTCATGTTTTTTTTTTGTTCTTGCTGTTTGAACTTGTACTGGTATTTTCAGGTGAGTCAGTTCCTAGTGCTGTCTAACTCAAAAGAAAATGATCAAAAAAAATTTGTATTACACTAATTATGTGAAACAAACAATTTAAAGTGTCTTTGTATGTTTATATTGCCTTTCTGTTTTCAGATCCTAAATATTATGCAGAATTGCCTAGCAGTATAAATGCACTGAGTGGCTCTTGAGTTCAGATTCTTTGTACATTTGATGCACCAGAGAACACACTGAAGAACACAGAAAGTATAAGAAACTATCATTTTTGATTATAAAAATATTTAGTGACTTTATAATCATGAAGCATACTTGGTGAGTGTCACGGTCACCAGCTCTGTCACCTACTCCTAACTATTTTTCCCATCATCACTTCTTCTGCTCACCCGTTCACTGTTACAATCATCCAGTCACAATCACCAACTAATTACGGATCACAACCAGCTGTCACTCATTCCACCTGCACTAACCAAAAGGACTCACCCAAGGAAATGAACAACAGGTAAGTAGACTTCAGGTGAGTAACAATCCAAGGAGAACATTAGGTGGGTCTTAGGCCCTGTCCACATGGAGACGCATTTAGCTGTATACGCATACATTTTGTATCGTATAGGCGTTTCGTCCAGATGGATCTGGCATTTTGGGAGAGTGAAACCGATATTTTTTGAAACCGGGTCTCGGAGTGGATAAATCTGAAAACGCCACCCTTGCGTTTTCGTGTGGACAGCGAATCCATATATTTTCTGAAACGATGACGTCATCAGTCCATGTCTCGCCCCGAGTCAGACACCGCTACGTCACATAACAGCAACAAAAACATGAACAAACACTGAACAATTGTCTTTTTATTAACTAACATTAACAGCGATTAATAAATGTATTGTTCCATGTTCGTTTGTATACCGTGCGCAAGGTTTATGCGCATGGTCCAAGTCTTCTTCTCCGTTTTTAGTGTATCTCTGTGGCAGAATTACAGCGCCACATGCTGGTCTGGCATGTATACTACATCGTTTTGTGTCGGTTTCTTGTGGACGCAGATATTTCTTGAGACAAAGTGAAAAAAAAAATTGGATAGGGAAAGCTCTGGTTTCGTGTGGACGTAGCCTTAGATTTTCTAAATTATTTTTGAAAATGGTCACCAATCTCTGATTTCCAGTCTCCAGTTCCTTGTCTCCACTCTCCAGCCCCGTGTCTCCTTCTCCAAGTGCCGTGTGTTCACCCTGCAAAAAATGAAAGGAAAGTGTTTATCTATTCATCAGTGACTGTTAATGTGTGTGTGTGTGTGTGGCATCTTACCTATCTGATCATCCTACTGCTGCATCTTCCATGCATACCTGTTCATCCATCGCCTAATCCATTTTGCTGTGTTCAATAAAGCTTGCTTGAACTTTACTTACCATCTATCTCTCTGGTCTGTGTACCCTGGCAGTGGGTAATTTTAAACAATATAGTTTACAGTGGAGACCCACTTACTTGAGACAGAAATTTTGATGGGATTGTCACTATATGGGTTTTTCCAATCCTCTGGATTCTTCATTTCCACCCTAAAGTACTATTTGTCTGAATGGCTGTTCATGACATCATGGAAAACAGTGGTACAATTACGCTGACTAAGATTTCCAAGTATTTCAATATGACTAAATCCTTTGTTTGTACTTCCATTAAAATCAACCAAACTCTCTGAATGGAGAAAAGCTTGGTTCTTCTAGTTTCCAATATGGTTTCCTCAACGGATAAACAAAATGTTACAGTTGATGAAGTTTTGCTCTCTTGTTCAATGTCACTAACTAGACAGGTAATCCCAAAGGAATAAAGTGAAGATTTCTGTGAGTGGCAGGATTTTCAGTAAAATACATTCTTAAAGGGGTCATATGATGCAATTTCAATTTTTCCTTTCTCTTTGGCGTGTTACAAGCTCTTGGTGCATAAAGAAGATCTGTAAAGTTGCAAAGACTAAAGTCTCAAATCCAAAGAGATATTCTTTATAAAAGTTCAGAGTCAGCCACACCTACCTAAAACGGCTCGTTCTAACATGCCCCCACATATCTACCTCACTATGTGGGAAGATTTGCATAACGCCGCCACATATTTCATTACACCAAATACACAAAATAATGTTATTTTTAGCAGCATCATATGACCCCTTTAAAAATATATGGTCAGGCTCAGGCCATATAGTTAGGGTATGCAGGGCCCTGGTGCAGGTTGTTACTGTGGGCCCTGGATGATCTTGCCTGGGGCCCCCTGAAGGCCATAGCATTGTCACCAGCTGTGACCTAATGGTTAGAGAGTTGGACTTGTAACCCGAAGGTCACGGGTTCGTGTTTCAGTACCAGCAGGAATTGTAGGTGGGGGGAGTGAATGAACATTCTCCACAACTGAGGTGCCTAGTTTATGTCTATTTGATGTGATGGTCTGATGTCTAGTTTACCTACAGATGTTTCTATTTTGCCCTAAAGTTCCTCCAAAAGGAACTCACATCACCATCGTTCCATCTGATTCAGTCTCTGTGACTTTGACCTGCAAACGCAAAGCCACTCCATCAAATGACATGATTTTCTCCTGGTACAAATGGGGAGAGTCAAAACAACTAGATTATAGAAAACAAATGACTTTTGGTGCAAACAAAAGTAATGCAGGCTGGTACTTCTGTATAGTTTATCAGAAACACCTCAGAAGAAGGTTTTCACTGACAGCTGTCATTGTACGACAGTGAGCAACTCTGTTTGTTTGTCTGAGTGACCAACAGTAACTAAGGGGGGTGAGGCTTACCGATCGGTCAATTATCAAGGTTGAGGTAACACTTTATTTTACAGTGTCTTTGTTACACATTGATGATATCTGTACTTACTATAGTAATAACAGTAAATTATGCTAGTAAGTACATGTTGTTGATTTATATTACACAGTACTTAAACTTAATTACACTGTAACAAGGACACCTTACAATGAAGTATAACTGTTGTTAATCTATGCTCTATTTTAGTTTCTGTTAATCTCACATGACAATGACATAGAAGAGCAAAAGAAAAAGGAATTCCTGGAAAAGAAGACATGTTTATATCTTGAGCAAGTGTCTAAGAATTTCGAACATTTCCTTGTCTCAAAGCTGTCTGAATTTTCTCTTTAAAGTGTTGCGTGTTTGTGGGTTTTAAGTGTTGCAACCTCCTCCCACACCAGTCAAAATGAGACAGTGGCTCCTTGACAAATTTAAATGTTTTGTGAGTGACATGAGTTATTAAATTCCTTACGCTTTGCTACATTACGTTCACCTTACTCTAAACAGCATTAAATTTAACTTCTCTGACCACACATTATAGAATAAAACTATTTTGACATCCCTTTCAACACAAGTTAACAGTGCATTTTTAAGTCTGCATGAGTCACATCATTCATCCATTCACTGAATTGTCATATTTGTGCCAAATTTGTTTGGATGAAAACATCAAGTGTATAGGACAGTTTTATTGAACAGTACCAAGAAAAGGCTTATTAAGTTAACATTAAAGTTAAGGAATAACATGCTTAATATATTACAGCCTTGGTCTCATTTGATAAACTATGGGCAAAGATTAATAATTTAAATTACAAGATGGTGTAATTGTGATAAATATAAGATCCTAGATCATTTTTGTTTTAATCACGGATATATTGTGTGGTGTATTAGTGGAGGTGATGATCTGTGTTGTGTATATACATGAAAATTGTCTAGTATTTAAATGGCAATGATTGAATGTTTTTTTTTTGTAATTGAACGTTGGCTAATGAACGATGATGTCAATATAATTAGTGATTTGAAAAGTGGGTGGAGGGATTGAATTGCTTTGCACACTGAGGAAGGCTTTGAGCCGAAACGTTTGTGTCTTTTCCCATCAACAATGAATGTAAATTAAAACAAAAAAAAGAAGACTGAAGAGTGCAGATCATGATCTCCTATAAGTATTGTGTTTATTGCCATATTTTTGTGTTGCTGCTTCCATTCTCTTTGAACAAATGACATGTTAGAATGAATAAAGACAGATTCATCTCATCTCATCCTGTAATGCTGCTGGAAGGTAGTCAGTAGTACATCAGGTGTTTTTAAAAAATCTCAGAGAGGAAGATGTCTTTATAAACTTCTGCTTTTCTTTGACTGCACTGCTCTAAGGTAAGGTTTATCTCTTGCAAATTGACCTTTATTAAAATATAAATCGTTAGAAATGTAGTAAACAAAGTTCATGACAACACTAATTCATTTAATAAAGATGTTAATCAGGGTTGGGAGAGTCTGCAGTGACTATTAATTCTCAACCGTAAACACGAACAAGCTGAATGTATGATTCATTGCTTAAAGTTGTTGAGTAAAAACAATTTGTTGTAGGATTTTTTATTTTGGGCAGAAAAGTATATTTAATTTGTCTCTTGTGTTTGTTTCAGTGTTTCAGTGATGTCTGTGGTCCAGATCATCTCCTTCATCATTATCAGCTCTGTGTTTCTACACACTCACTCAGGTTGGTTCATATACACTAAATATATCCTTCACCAGCAGAACCACTACTGATATGATGACACAAGTAGCAAAATAGCAAAATGATTGGCAAAGGAAAGGATAATTCATTTTTGTCTGTTCCTCAGATAAAGCTATCATATAGCTTCAGGAGACTTTAAATATAGAAAACAGGTCATATATAAGCCATAATTACTTTTATGGTGCTGTTTTGTTTTTTTGGAAGCTTGACTTATGTCTATGTCAGGGGTGTAAAAAGTACTCAGAAATGATACTTAATTGGAAGTACAGATACTGAATGTACAGATTCTTGTTTCATGATATTGAAACATCATCTTAATGCAAAGTGAAATAAATGACATAGAATGTTTTGTCAGACAGACAAACAAAGGTTTGGTAAATGGTGGAAAACAAAATAAAACACAATGGCTCAGGTCAAAAAACATCTATCTAATGCATACAACAACGATTAAAAGGCAGCACAGTGGAACACAAAAAAATACAGCTCTTATTATGGACTAACCCAAACATTGGGTTAAATTTTGACATTAAATTTTTAACCCAAAAGTTGGGTTAGTCCAAATTTGACCCAAAGTTGGGTTGAAATAACCCAGCATTTTTTAGAGTGTATGTAATGTATATGATTTTCTTTCTTAAGATGAACACAAACAATGATTTTTAGAAAAAAATAATAATCAATTTCTATTTATATAATGCAAGTGTACAGAATGTCCAAAGTTGACGCTTCAAAAACTCCACAATCTAAACATGACGGTAACCTATACTTTTTGAAGCGGTGCCGTACACTTGCATTACATAGACTAAACATCTTTATTTGTGTTTATCTGAAGAAAGTCAGTCATATACATCTGGGATGGCATGAGGGTGAATAAATGTTGAGAGAATTTTTGGGTGGAGTATTCCTTTAAAGGGGACATAACACACACAGTTTCAGCCAATCTCATGTTAATCTTGAGTGCCTATAGAGTAGTACTGCATCCTTCATATCTCCAAAAAGTCTTTAGTTTTATCATATTTATAAAAGAAAGATACAACTTTATGATTCTTAGTGTTTCTAATGCTAAAATATAATTATTGTTGGGATTTAATGGATTCAGAGATAGATCACACAAAAGTTTAATCAAAAGCAAGTCTTTGGGAACAACTAGAAACTATTTGGAAGTCAGTAACAACAGAGACTGTGGAAAAGTGCATAAAAATTATGCCAGCAAGAATGCAAGCTTTTATCAAGGCCAAAGGAGGCCATACAAAATAAAAATAAAATAGCCTATTTATACTTTTTGGTTTATTAGTTTTTGGTTATTATGTGTGAATAAAGACTGTTTAGTTGTTTCAGTTTGTTATTTGCCCAATGATAACACAATTTTTAGTTTTAAACAAGTTTTTGACGGGCGGTCTAATACATTTGTTAAGCACTGTATATAGCTACATATAGTTTTGTGAGGATTTGAACTGAAAATAAAACTTGCAAACTCACTCGTTTACACTTTGCCCCTTTCTTGATTGCCAATGGCTGCAAAGTACAACGTGAAAGCGCAAGGCTGACGCTCAGTAGCGGATTCACACATCCATGAGCGAGGCATTTCAGTTGAAGAGACGGGAGTTGCGCGACAGCATGCTCCTAGAATCTGTTTGAGTAATATATGGCCGTCGAAACAAAACGGCACGGGTTCACGTATTAGGCTAGCCTATGTGTGAATCTGGCGATAGATCGCGCATCCACTGTTTCACGCATGAGAATATATATATACATATACTGTATATATATAAAATACAGGGCTTGACATTAACTTTTTTGCTCACCAGTCACTGTGGCTAGTGGTTTTCCAAAATTACTAGCCACTCAGCATTTTCACTGGCCACAAGTCATTCAAACGATCCCCAGGAGGTATGTTGAGCAAGGAGATGGCGGGCAAGTTGCGATATGCGACGGGAGCGTAGAGCACCTTGCCGGTTGATGTACGCCACAGTCGCAGTATTGTCCACACAGACCAATACGTCTTTGCACCGTAGCGACCCTTTCAGGCTGCCCAATGCAAGACGTACTGCCAGCAACTCGAGGCAATTGATGTGCCAATGCAGTTGGGGACCCGTCCAAACCCCTGAGCCTGCATGCCTTTTGTACGTGGCCCCCCAACCCATGGCATCTGTGAACAGAACTGTGTACTGATATGCTCGACCCTCGAACGGAAAAGGCCTGTGTCAAGGGAGAACTGAGACATGAAAGTACGCATCATTCAGGTCGATCGCTGCAAAACCAATCTCGGGGACGGATGCATTCGAAAATGCTTTTCTGTGTCAACATTTTGAACGGTAGCCTGTGAAGTGCTCGTTTCAAAACTGGCAGATCCAAGATTGGCCGTAACCCACCGCCATTCTTGGGTACAATGAAGGCTGTAAAACCCCATCTTCATATCGGCTGGAGGGACCGGCTCTATCACATCCTTCGCCAGTAGGACTGCGATCTCCGCACTCAAGACATGAGTATTGGCTGCCTTCACTGATGTGAAGTGGATGCCCCTGAATTTGGGGGAATGCCGGGCGAACTGAACCGCACAGCTGAGTCTGATAGTCCGAAAGAGACAGCAAGACAGGCTGGGCAGCGCTAGCCAGGCTCCCAGATACCGTGCAAGTGGGACCAGAGGAACCACCGACATACCTGCAGTGGGGCAGCGAGGTGGAACACAGGGACCCGGGTTGGGCAGCTCGTGGGCGGACCGAAGTGTGGTCTGAGTGTGCGGTACAACACCTTCCTGGTTCCACGTTTGGACAGAGGGTGCATGAGGACTCGTTGTGCCCTCGAACCGCCCACTGCTTTCCGCTGGCAAAAGAGGAGGATGAGCGTGGTGCGGCTCTACATCGTCCACCACCCACCATGCCCTCTTGAGACCCAGAGATGGAGGAAACTGCTCTTTATTTGAAGGTTTGGGTACTGCTGGCTGTAGGGCCAGCGGTGGAAAATAAATAAAATGAAACAAAAGATTCTCCACCTGGCCCTCCTCCTGGGGAGGGAGTGGTGCGGCCACTATCTCCTGAAGAGCTGCTTCCTCCAACTCTGGGTCACCTGTCTCAGGGCCTCTTTTGCACTTACGCTTCCCACCAGGTTTGACAGGGGCCTGGACAGGCTGCTGTTGCTGCATGGGGGCGAGGGCAGTCGCAATGGGGGGCGCCCTCGGCGACGAGCAGGCTGAGGTGCTGTGGCCGGCGGACGGCGGACGGGGCAGGATGTGTTTGATGGCCTCAGTCTGCTTCTGTGCGGTTGAAAACTGGTGGGTAAAGCTCTCAGCTGTGTTGTTGAAGAGGTCGGTTGGTAACGCCATAGCGTGCAGGGCAAAGGCAGCCTCCCCACAGGCTCCGTAAGCACTGCCAGTCAGACTAGACGAGCACTTACAAGCCCGCGAGGGGAGACACGGTTTATCCCGCCAGGTGGCAGCGGTGCTTGGACACAATTGCATCGCAACCAACCGCTCCACCAAGGAATCCCCACGTACTCCTTGGCTGCCCCTCCATCGACGGTAGTGAGAGAGGAGGAGGTACTAGGTCTGTTTCTGGCAGTAAAAGGTGCCGTCCACGACCTAGTTAGCTCCTCATGCACCTCCTGGAAGAAAGGAACTGGAGCGGGACGCTGAGAACCAGCGTGAGACACCCCGAGAAACCAATCATCCAACCTCGAGGGCTCGGGGTGCGGTGGAGGTTTCCACACGAGCCCAACCCTCTCGGCGGCCCGGGCAAGCATAGCCACCATCTCTGGGTCTGACTCGGATGGCACCACCCTCCCAGAAGGAGGCAACACATTCGGATCATCATCCAATGCCGCAATCGACATCTGATCGTCAGGGGGAGCCCCGAAGGATACGAGTGGCACACATTGTTCAGATGGTCCAGCACGTCCCATCGTCATTTCTACTGGCTGCGAAGTGCGTGAGGAGTGAGGAACCCTGAAAGGTTGGTTCCTTGCAGGAGAATTCCTCACCGTAATCCTCAAGTCGCCCGGGTTACTGCCCGAAGTAGTTTCCCCCCAAGAGGGAACACTAGAACGAGGTAGCGGCACGGGAACTCCACACCTTATTTAGGTACCGAAGTCTCAACCGCAACTCCTAGATGGTCATCTTCCCGCAGTGGGAACATGATTCATCCACGAACGCTGCCTCAGCGTGCTCAATGCCCATTTCTTTTATTGAAATTGCTCTTTTTTTCTGTGCTGAACTGCACAGGGGAAATGGCCAACCGCAACACTGACAGATAATCTCCTTCTGTCTGGCAATGACCACCGCTGTAGCGCCGTCACACCAACACCAAAAGAGGACTCCGCAGAAGCTCGTAGCACTCTTTTCTTGGTCAGGAGCAGAACGAATGATCCGCTCGGCTTCGAAGCGAAAAGCTAACTATGCGTTGCTCCTGCTGCCTATTTATACTCACGCTGCAATGAGTGGCAGCTGGATGCAATTGTCACATGCCAATGTGCATTGGCTTGTTTAGTTTACACTCAAAGTAGATTGGTCCCTCTGGCGAGATTCCCATTTCTTCTGTCCTCGACGTGACGTCGAAGTGACCGACTGAAAGGGAACTACAATTTCCTAAATTTTAAGCTCACTGATTAGTACTATTTGAAGTTATATTGAAGGACCTTTTTTAAGCATATTTCATAAATTAATTGTATTCTAAAGCACAGTATAAAAAAATCTCTGGAAATCCTTGGCAACAAAGTTATGGTTAAGAAACTACAGTTACCGAGCTATGGAAGAGACTGGAAGAAGAGTGAACCAAGATCACACCAGCGCAGTGTGAGAAACCAGTGATATCCTGCGTCCGCAGATGTGCTGAAGTCATTCAAAGCAAGGGCCTTCGCTGCAAAACCAATCTCGGGGACGGATGCATTCGAAAATGCTTTTCTGTGTCAACATTTTGAACGGTAGCCTGTGAAGTGCTCGTTTCAAAACTGGCAGATCCAAGATTGGCCGTAACCCACCGCCATTCTTGGGTACAATGAAGGCTGTAAAACCCCATCTTCATATCGGCTGGAGGGACCGGCTCTATCACATCCTTCGCCAGTAGGACTACGATCTCCGCACTCAAGACATGAGTATTGGCTGCCTTCACTGATGTGAAGTGGATGCCCCTGAATTTGGGGGAATGCCGGGCGAACTGAACCGCACAGCTGAGTCTGATAGTCCGAAAGAGACAGCAAGACAGGCTGGGCAGCGCTAGCCAGGCTCCCAGATACCGTGCAAGTGGGACCAGAGGAACCACCGACATACCTGCAGTGGGGCAGCGAGGTGGAACACAGGGACCCGGGTTGGGCAGCTCGTGGGCGGACCGAAGTGTGGTCTGAGTGTGCGGTACAACACCTTCCTGGTTCCACGTTTGGACAGAGGGTGCATGAGGACTCGTTGTGCCCTCGAACCGCCCACTGCTTTCCGCTGGCAAAAGAGGAGGATGAGCGTGGTGCGGCTCTACATCGTCCACCACCCACCATGCCCTCTTGAGACCCAGAGATGGAGGAAACTGCTCTTTATTTGAAGGTTTGGGTACTGCTGGCTGTAGGGCCAGCGGTGGAAAATAAATAAAATGAAACAAAAGATTCTCCACCTGGCCCTCCTCCTGGGGAGGGAGTGGTGCGGCCACTATCTCCTGAAGAGCTGCTTCCTCCAACTCTGGGTCACCTGTCTCAGGGCCTCTTTTGCACTTACGCTTCCCACCAGGTTTGACAGGGGCCTGGACAGGCTGCTGTTGCTGCATGGGGGCGAGGGCAGTCGCAATGGGGGGCGCCCTCGGCGACGAGCAGGCTGAGGTGCTGTGGCCGGCGGACGGCGGACGGGGCAGGATGTGTTTGATGGCCTCAGTCTGCTTCTGTGCGGTTGAAAACTGGTGGGTAAAGCTCTCAGCTGTGTTGTTGAAGAGGTCGGTTGGTAACGCCATAGCGTGCAGGGCAAAGGCAGCCTCCCCACAGGCTCCGTAAGCACTGCCAGTCAGACTAGACGAGCACTTACAAGCCCGCGAGGGGAGACACGGTTTATCCCGCCAGGTGGCAGCGGTGCTTGGACACAATTGCATCGCAACCAACCGCTCCACCAAGGAATCCCCACGTACTCCTTGGCTGCCCCTCCATCGACGGTAGTGAGAGAGGAGGAGGTACTAGGTCTGTTTCTGGCAGTAAAAGGTGCCGTCCACGACCTAGTTAGCTCCTCATGCACCTCCTGGAAGAAAGGAACTGGAGCGGGACGCTGAGAACCAGCGTGAGACACCCCGAGAAACCAATCATCCAACCTCGAGGGCTCGGGGTGCGGTGGAGGTTTCCACACGAGCCCAACCCTCTCGGCGGCCCGGGCAAGCATAGCCACCATCTCTGGGTCTGACTCGGATGGCACCACCCTCCCAGAAGGAGGCAACACATTCGGATCATCATCCAATGCCGCAATCGACATCTGATCGTCAGGGGGAGCCCCGAAGGATACGAGTGGCACACATTGTTCAGATGGTCCAGCACGTCCCATCGTCATTTCTACTGGCTGCGAAGTGCGTGAGGAGTGAGGAACCCTGAAAGGTTGGTTCCTTGCAGGAGAATTCCTCACCGTAATCCTCAAGTCGCCCGGGTTACTGCCCGAAGTAGTTTCCCCCCAAGAGGGAACACTAGAACGAGGTAGCGGCACGGGAACTCCACACCTTATTTAGGTACCGAAGTCTCAACCGCAACTCCTAGATGGTCATCTTCCCGCAGTGGGAACATGATTCATCCACGAACGCTGCCTCAGCGTGCTCAATGCCCATTTCTTTTATTGAAATTGCTCTTTTTTTCTGTGCTGAACTGCACAGGGGAAATGGCCAACCGCAACACTGACAGATAATCTCCTTCTGTCTGGCAATGACCACCGCTGTAGCGCCGTCACACCAACACCAAAAGAGGACTCCGCAGAAGCTCGTAGCACTCTTTTCTTGGTCAGGAGCAGAACGAATGATCCGCTCGGCTTCGAAGCGAAAAGCTAACTATGCGTTGCTCCTGCTGCCTATTTATACTCACGCTGCAATGAGTGGCAGCTGGATGCAATTGTCACATGCCAATGTGCATTGGCTTGTTTAGTTTACACTCAAAGTAGATTGGTCCCTCTGGCGAGATTCCCATTTCTTCTGTCCTCGACGTGACGTCGAAGTGACCGACTGAAAGGGAACTACAATTTCCTAAATTTTAAGCTCACTGATTAGTACTATTTGAAGTTATATTGAAGGACCTTTTTTAAGCATATTTCATAAATTAATTGTATTCTAAAGCACAGTATAAAAAAATCTCTGGAAATCCTTGGCAACAAAGTTATGGTTAAGAAACTACAGTTACCGAGCTATGGAAGAGACTGGAAGAAGAGTGGACCAAGATCACACCAGCGCAGTGTGAGAAACCAGTGATATCCTGCGTCCGCAGATGTGCTGAAGTCATTCAAAGCAAGGGCCTCTACACTTCCTACTAACCTCCAAAATTTTTGTAGTAATCATCTTTTGTGCTACAGTGGTTACTGTTCTCTAATTTAGATCACCGTGTTTTCCACAAAATAAAGGTTTTTGTTGAAATGCCTTGGTTGTTTTGTCAAACATGTTATTGGAACATTTTTTACACAGCTAATATTCCTTCAAATTTCGAGCGATGAAGATATACAATATTTCAGAAAAAATCAAGTATTTATAGATTGCGCTCTAATTTTGATGTCCACTGTATGTATATACTGTGTGTGTGTGTGTGTGTGTGTGTGTGTTTGTGTGTGTATATATATATCTGTATGGACAAAAGCAGCATGAAAAAATATTTTAAAAGTTTGTTGTTTGTTTGTACAAATTTTGGCGTGAACTGTCTCTTTAAGAGCTTTACCTCTCTAAGTTTTAAGTCATTATTTACTAATGTGTTTTTATGTTCCAGCTGATAATATCTACTCTGCAGTGGTGCCTCAGACAGTAACAGCTCTGACAGGCTCTTGTTTGCAGATTCCTTACACATTCAACATCTCCAATTTTGAAGACAAACGTAAGAGGGCAACATCTATTTATGGGATCTGGCTGAAAAACAAATCACAGTTTGCAAACAAAGACCGTTTTATAGTTTTTAATAGCAGTGAAAACATCATTAGAGGATTCAGTGACATAAAGATGACTGGAGATCTCAATGAGAGGAACTGCACCACTGTCTTCTATAACATCATGATGAATCATTCAGACCGCTATTACTTCAGACTGGAAATGGAGCCAAATGTGCTCAGAGCAACATTTAACCCTAGTCCAGCTGATTCACCTGATTTAAGCAAGACTGTGAGGATCACTGTCAGAGGTAAATGTCATCTCCACTGTCTTTAACATACAGGTTTTCATACTTTACTTCACTTAAATTTAAGTAAATAAATAAATGTAATAACTAAATACATTCAAATGTAAATAATTTTACATAATACTATATAACAAACATAATTAAGGACTGTTTCTTAAGGATGAAATACAATGTGTGTATTTATTTATTTATTTTCTGTAGATTCACTACAACCTCCTGAACTTAAACCCAATGATCTGACAGTGATGGAGGAAATTACAGTCAATCTGAGCTGCTCTGCTGAAGCCCCCTGCCCCAAACATCCTCCTACAATATCCTGGTCTAACATCCCTAAATCTGCCCGCATTACAACACAGTTACAGGAGAAACCTGATAAAACCCAGTCAGTGTTTTCATACATGACCTTCAAAGCTTCATACAAAGATCACAGGAAGAACATTTCCCGCACTGCTACATATCCAAGAAATACATCTGATGACTCTTCTGCTGAGACCACCGTGATGCTACGATTCCTGTGTAAGAGACTTGACCATTTATTTCCTTTAGCAGAGCACTGTGCTCGCTTAAATGCACAAAGTGCTACTTAAACATAGAATCTGATGTTTCGCTACCCAGAAATGTCTAAAGCATAGCTGTTTTGGTGTTTCTCCCATGTATGTGCTTGTGTTTCTGTCAAAGTGCTTCCAACAGAAACTCACATCACCATCAATCCATCTACTTCAGTCTCTATTGGCACTAATGTGACTTTGACAGCACTGGATAAATATGGCAGTCAGTCAACAGCAGAGATCCAGCTCACAGCTGAAGGTGAGTTTACACAGTTTAAATGTAAAGAACAAGATCCAAAACAATGAAGTTTATTTGAAATACATTCTGGTCTAGTTACAGGCATTTTACATGACATAGGACAAGATGGACCATCTATGGCCATGATTGCTGGTTGTGTGGGAGGAATTGTGGCAGTGCTCATGCTCTCTGCTATTGGATTTTGTACAAGGTAATTTGTACAAAAATAATTAATTATATTTACAGTTACTTAATCATCTCTGATGTAATTATGAAACAGATGATTTTAAGATACTCAGCATTGTGCTTGTGTTAGTCTAAGCATCAGCCAAAGTTAAGATATATGAAACGGTGCTTCTAGTGTTTGACTTCCTGCAGTGACCAGATTAGCTTTTACAAAGCACTTCAGTCATGCACAGTCAAGTCAAGTTTTCAGTGTAATTGTTTGCTTCCTCTCACAGGACGAGGACAAAGACACACAGGGCAGACAATTTTGGAGAAAAAGATTCCCTAAATCAGGTGTGTGCACTTGCCATTGGTTTTTAGGTTAGTGGGTTGATGGGTGTTTAGTTCACTGTTAAAAACTATTTAATCTCATACATACTGTCTTAAACTAAGTTATTTAGTTATGTAAACTAAATAAGTAAGATGCTGGACACTTTTAAAAACTGAAATGTGTCATTTTGTCAGCTAAAAAATAATCCATCAGTTTTCATTTCTGCTTTACTTCATATATATAGTGCAGCATGTTTCCTCAAACACCAGTCATTTCACACCACTGACTAAACAACCGCAAAGTGTTTTTAAATAGATCACTATCATTGTGCAGTGACTCTCTGTTCTGGTCTTGCACATTTTGTCTCTCTTAATAATAACTTTCTAGTAAGTTATTATTCATATCAGATAAAATACACATCTAATATAACCAAATTATGTTTATTTTTATATGAAACATCACAAAAGATATTTATCAATCAGGTTAACACTATTTAATGTGACAATTTATATTAATTAAAATAATTTTTATATGAATGCACTTGCATGTATTATATACACATGTATAAATGAAAGTATGGTTATTTATATTGTATGTACAGCGTATAATAATGTGTGTTAGATAAGAGAGACATACAAAATGTGTTGAGTGGGGAGGGAATTGCGCACCAGAACCGGAATTAAGAACCACTGCTGTAAAGGGTTTTATAATCTGGACTCTTTCCAATGTGATTTCTAAGATGGCTACATTCACATAGCCGACTGAGAGAGCAAGGCATGGGTTGAGGTCAGCGGAAGAAAAACAGCAGCAGCAACATGGCTTTAAGAAAAACTTGGGACACAAGAAATGGAGCAAAATTGTTCAGAACAGATCATTACTCAAGCAGCTTGCAGAACTAATTTCTTCTTGACTAATTTCTTCTCGCGTATGCTTTCATAACAAAACGTGGTTTGGGGACAGTGTAGAGTCATTGGGTGACAGAGTCATTGTTAGCTCGTGTAGTGTGTGACTTCGCAGTGTCACGTAGTGTGAACACTACAACGACTTCAAGACAGACAGCAAGTCATGTAGTCTGAACAACACAGCGATTTGGCAATTACGTTTAAAGTCGCATAGTGAGAACTTGGCTTTAGTGATCAATTCAAAATGAATGCTCAGATTTTTTTGTTTGGCTTTTTTTTTTTTTTTAAATGAAGCCAATATCAGAATTGAGTGTGAATTGGTCACAGTCCCAAACCTCATGTGCAAAATAGCAATTACACAGAAGGCACAAAGCACACTGAAAACACCCTTCCACTAGTCTCTTAATAAAGGGTACATGTAATGGTCACTTATAGGAAGTAATTTTATCGTTTATGGTCATGTGACCCAGGGTGGACTGGTCACTGTCCCGAACCGACCCACATGTGCAAAAGAACAATAAGATGGCACACAACACACTGTCATATGGAAATAAACATTGAGGCCACAGAAATTAGTGTTTACAGATTCATTTATAAGCTGATGTTCCATGGAAGCCAGTGAACTGCACAGGGTGAGGAGAAAGGGAACAAAGTTTTTCTAGTTTTCATAGCTCTTCCTAAAGTTTAGCTTGTTATATATGTCACAGTATGTATTTAGTATGACGTAACAATGTCATTTAAAAGCAAATGGCAAAGTATTTCCTTTTAAAAATTAATTATTTTTTGTTACAATGGATTGCCAATGAACATTATCTTAAATACCTACAAAATTACTATTATTGTCCCAGAATTTTATACTAGGATATAGTGTTATCACGGTACCAAAATTTCAGTATTCGGTACTAATACCAGTGAAAATCCACGGTTCTCTGTACCAATTTTGGTACCAAAGCAAAACAAATAAACATGCTAATTGAACAACATTATTTTTATTAATAACGTTAAAAAAAATGTATGTACAAAACCAATCTTTATACTTATTTAAAATTGTTTCAAGTTTTTCCACAATTAATAAAAGTATGAAAAAAGTAAACAAGTTTCACCCAAAAGTTTTTGTCATATTTCTGCTGCCGCTGAAAAACATTTGTAAACTGTTGTCTGTTTTAGGGTTTGCTGGTGTGTTTCAGGATCTATTATTCTTCTTAGGGTTAATTTCAAAGTTCAATCTGTTAAAATTATTTAATGCACAATGAACAAACATGAATGATCAAGTGTTTGTATTAACATTCACAAACATTAATGAATGTTGTAAAAATATATTGTTCACTCACTGTAAGATGTTACTAGATCTAACTCATGCTAGATAACATGATGTTATTGTAAAGTCTATACAGGAGATAAAATTTGACTGTACTTTTATGTAATCCAAACTGTGTTCATATATTTATTTTAAAGGTCTTTTAAAAACCTGCTAGAGTTATTCAGCCAAGAATAACAACTAATTAAATTTAAAAAAAAAGCCCAGAACTGTTTTTCTCACGGACTGACATGACATTACACTGTTAACCATACATGTGTACATTCTCTAACATGCATATTTTGGACACACAGTTCATTTAAAAGACTCTGGTGTGTAAACATAGTAAATACCATTATGTCCTCCTGTTTTTTACACTAATAAAAGTTATAGGAGCAGTAAATAGTTAACAAAGAAACTTCATTCTAATGCTCATTATATTAGCGTTAGCTACGCTTATGCTAACAATTAACTACATATACACTAACGGCGATGTTTATTTCAATCCGACATTCAAATTAAAATATGGAATAATATTCATAACAGAAGCTCTAAATATAAAAAATGTAATTGAAACTTACCTGCTTGAACTCTTTCATTTGATCGGGGTGTTTTGTTTGATGCGTTTCCTCCTCTTGAGGTCGCCACGTCTCAGTGCTTTTATGAAGAGGATAACATTCGGAGAGCGCATCAAGAACTGGGTTGACCGGGTACTCGGTACCACCGGTACTTAAGAAAACCTGGTACCGTAATGTTTTCTTTTTTTTTTTTTCAGTTTTCATTTTTCGAAATACCGGGTCTTTTGACAACACTACTACGATATATATAGTTCAGTCATGAAACTCTAGATAGCGCAGGCTGGTAGGTCCTTAACATGCAATCTGCTGGCAATCACGTCATTCTACATGGCACAAGCTAACTGGTCTCTGCAGATTCTTCAGTCAATGATCTTGCTTGCTCAACCTTTAAATAGTCTGTTTGAGTGTTCACTATAAGCTGGTCCAGCAGTGCAGAATTCCTCTGAAATCCTCCACCTCCCCCAGCTCCACCTGTCTAGATCTGCTACAGGATTTACTGTATGTGTGCTTACTCATGTACCAGCAGCAGCATATCTTATACACTCACAGCAGCATGTCTGTGTATCTATTGGCTGTAGCAAGTCCATACTTGCTGTGCAGCAGCAGCTTGCATAGCAGATCTAGACCCTCAAGACCAAATACATTAACACTGTCAAATACATTAACACTGTCAAATCCATTAACGTGCTAAACTATTCAGAGAGTTGAAATGCTGGAATACACTAAATATTTTTGTTTTAAATTTTTAGGCACAGGATGGAACTATTGACAGGAATTCCACTTATGCTAATGTTCTCACTGTGACCAACCAGGACAACAAGATCTCTGATGATCAAAGTGTGCGTGACTGTAATACTGAATTCAGTACTCAGATTGACCACATTACAGAGAAAGATCCAATAGAAGAAGACAACAATGAAAAAGGTTCAGATGTAGTATATGCACAGGTCCACGTGTTACACAAAAAAACAAAAGCCATCAGTATTCTGCCTGAGAACATGTATGCTCAGGTGAACAAATAAAAATAATCATTTTTTTAACATCTCACAAAAAAAAGGAAAAAAGAAAAACACTAAAACTGGCACCATTTTGGAGAGAAATTGGCTCTTTTTAATCTCTCTTTATGTCATGGTGTGTGATGCTGAAAGGTTTTTGTATTCTTTGCACTGTTCTGAACATTGATGTTTTATGTGCAACAATAGCATGCTCAGGCTCAGTGGCCTTACACCTGATTTTAAATCTCGTTTTTTTTTCTCAGACTCTATGATTTAAATGGTGATGAATGTACTAAGAATAACTCTTTCATCTTTTCATCTCTGTAATAGTTTTTCCAAGTTTTTGATGTATTTTAAAGAGTTGGCAGCCAAAATTAAAACTGTTGGATGATAGATATTCTTAAATATTCTTAAACAACAATTATAATTTGAATTACAGTATGTGCATTGTTTTCTAAATGTTTAATTTGCAGTGCACAGCTTTTATTTTAAGGGGATATAATCTGCAGCTCAGTACTCACTACTCACTACTCATGAGTACTTTTAAATAAGCTGCTCTTTTACTCTTACTCAAGTAGTTTTTTGGACAAGTACTTTTTACTTTACTCACACATTTTTTGGAATGTAGTGGTACTTTTACTTGAGTATATTTTTTTCAGTATTCTTTCCACCACTGCTTATTTGTGAAAGGCAGGAATAAGACAAATCTATATTTTTATGTATTTTTTCTCTTTATGCAATTATGTTTCATTATTTGACAGTTCTCATGTTTATTTGATGTTTATGCATTAGCATTAGTATTCATTATCCCAGCGATTCATCACTGTCAGCAAGCAAATTAGGCACTGCCCCCTTAAGAAATGATGCAGAAACCAGTGGATGTCCAAGCGAAGCAGTTTTGCCAGTAATAAGACCGTCTCTGGTTTTGCTTCTGTCTGATAGTTCACGCTTACATATAATTAGCTGAAGTATTATGAAGGTAGAATGACGTCAAAAAGATTAGCATACGCAGGGTAAGAGTTGTGGAAGTGTACATAAGACTGTAAGCGTAAATTAAATTTGCATGCGCAAGAGAAGCTTTGTAAAGGTGTAAATCGCGTTTCAAGCGCAAGAAAAAAATATTTGCAGCATTTTACTGTTACTCGTAAGTGTAATTCATGTATTGAATGTTAAAAGTACCATTCCGGCAGCAAGAACGATCCTGAACTAAATGAAGATTAATGTCTAGGCGTGTGATGTGTTTATTGGACCAATCAGATAAGAGTAACTGGAGAGTCAGCGAGAGCCTCATTTGATTGGCTACAAGAGGAGGACCCGCCCTCCCCCTCACGCTTGCAAAACTCAGTCAGTGAGAGAATCGTGCCAAAATTGTAAGCGCAGAGAAAAGAAAGACGGAGCTGTACATATCGGTTTATTTCGGGAACTTTTTGCCCCACATGCACAACAAGTCATTTAGACATTTGCAACAGTTAGTTTTTTTACACATACAGATGGTTCTATGCAGTCAATCCGTTTTGCAGTTCTTTAAACTGTTGTTTTCGCTTGCAAATCACTGTTCACAGGCTTGCAGAGCTTTTGACCGTCTTTTGGCGAAAAAAACGTGCCAAAAGTCTAAGCGCGGAAAAATGGAAGTCAGAAGCATGCAGATCATATTTATTTTGCGTTAGCA